TATAAGATGGGTACTTGTGGTTGTCAAGAAGTATTAGGCAATTCTGATACTACATATTTTTTATGAAATAATGCTTTAACATGGATTAACATTGATCCAAAAATGTAATTTTTTTGCATTTTGTCAGGTAGTTTCTCTCAAAAAAATAATTTGTACTTGGAAAACCTTGAAAAGTTGATGATATGTGCCCAAATCAATAATTATATATCACTTTTGAAACAAAGAAATGTGATGACTTGTTCACCTCCATTTGTTGGGTTGAATCTACTTCAATTAACAAAATAATGATTTAATACTCACTGACATCGTACTCATTTATAATACAGAGATCAGCACAACCTGAACATTCCGTATCCAATGGCAACACACCAACAACATCATCTCCAACTTTAACATTTGTCACTGCAGCACCGACTGTATCAAAGAAAAAAAGCCATGCATGGCACAGTCCCCATTTTAAGATATATATAGTTTATAGTACCGGGTAATATAGTTGGAACATAAACATGTCAGAAGTATGGATCCAGAAGATGATGCTTGATTATGATAATTTTTTAAAATTAAAATAATTGACATCTTGTATCTGATCGTCAAACAAGTACTCGTCCATATTGAGAAATATTGCCTTGGAACAGCAATAATTAAAACAAAATGGCCACCAGTCGGCCATTTTGAGTACATCTATATATCTATAACATGATGTAAAACAAATATATAAAATTTGAACATAATGAGTCAAAGCATGTCAGAGATATGGCTCTATAACTGCATCCATTAAAACAAAATAACCGCCAGTCAGCCATTTTAAATTGAATCTGAAAAATAAAATGACGTGGATCAAGGTCCCATAATGTCCAACATATGCACCAAGTTTGAACAAAATCCAAAAATAAATGCTTGATTTTAATGATTTTTCAGCACAAAAATGGCCACCATTCGGCAATCTTGGATCAGTTCATGATCATCATTGATGTGCATATGTATAATATGTATGTATGTAAGTGTGGAGTTTGTGATTGGTCCAGGCATTTCTAAGATACAGGTCCGGATGCACAGACGCACAAAGGTCAAAACATAAGTCCCCGTTTTTGGATTGCGTCAACAGGGACTAAAAACGTCAACCTAAAATAACCTAATGTCACAAAAAGGTTTATCATGCACCATCATGTGGAATACAGAGAGTAACGATGATCTCGATGCCCCATAGGTTGACTGAAATTTAATGTTTATGAACAATGCCATTTGTACACAGCCTTTGTTCACAAGTGCTGACAAATGGAAGGCTAGATCACTTGGAAAATATTTGTTATCAGTTGGCTAAACCTGCGTTCTGTTCATACGTTGAAGATTACATTGAAATCAGCGCTCTCAGCTTTTCACACTTCATTCACCTAATGCTGTGTCACCGTTAGAGGACATTGTTTCAACCAGTAAACTGTTTTCAGTTGTATCTCATCTCATGGAATTTGGGGTGAAGGCCATCATTCCGAGTGGACACTGCTAGTTTAACCCAAGCTAATTCTGTTCACATGTGTTTTTAGTGGGTTAAAATTTTGTTTCACATGTCAGCACACTATTTATGTTCTATCTACGTGTATGTATTCACCTTGTGTAACACTTCCAGATATTTCTCTTCCGACAGGATGTCTTTCCCTCTTTATATTCAACTGTGCAAATATCTTGAAATATATAACCATACAAATACAGACAAACCACTAAAGGTAATTCAATAGCTTGCATTTGAATTGATTAGAAAAAATATATTAATCTACTCTCAGTGCAACAAAGTCATTCCTTCCATCCTCATACATTTTTATAAATTTCACAATTCAAACTGAAATGAGAGGTTTTTATTGGCCACTTGAATAAGATAAGAATGTTTTCAAATGATGTTGGATACTGTGCTCGATGACTGGCTGGTTTGATTCAACTGCCATAGAAATTTATGAATATTTATAAAGGTGAAGGGAATGCCTGTGTTGCACTGCGAGTAAATAAAGTAAAAATTTGGTATCACATAACTACATTAAGGTGCATGTCATTAAGTTTTCAATATCACAAGCTGATTTGTTAGTCCGAATCAAACATCCTTCTGAATAATAAATCACATGACTTTACGCTGACATGATGTCATTTAAAAACAACCGCCATTATCAATCTTCGGTAGATGTGGACCTCACCTCTAAATTCACCATAGATAATCCACAGGCCTTAATCTGTATCATAATGCTATTTTCTGTCATTGCTGGTAAATTAACCTGGAAGAAAT